TGGGTACCTCAATTTCAACAGAAACGGATGATGACGTAATTAATTCATATCGGACAAAATGTATAGTTCCATCTGCAGCACCGTGTAGGGGACGATAGGGACCGGTCATTTAACAGTTTCTCAGCTACGTGTCCTGAAAAACATGAGCTCTTCAAATAATGTTTTTTTGGCTACTTTCAGAGAAAATTGGACGTTGCGGAACGGCGGTCGAAAGAAGCTTCTGTCTATAACACATATCTCCCCCGCCTCCCCGAGACAATGAAATGGTCGGTCCCTGAGGTCTGTCCAGTCAGTCGATTTGCGCAGCAGTCGACATACATTCAGATACACACACAGAAGATGTCTGGAGTAATAAGAGAGCTTTAGATAATAGTTGGTGTATGGTAAGTGTACCCGCGGAATAGTACAACATGCTTGGCACCAGATGTCATTAGCATCAGGTCGTTACAACATCAGGTTAAAGTGAAATGCCGATGGTTATTAATACCTGACAAGGTACTGTTTTGCGATTGGGATGTGTATACATCGGTATTGTATCTAAAAAAGTACCTCATGCATGTATAGGTTTTAAGGGAATGGTACAACACTGTTTAATATAACATATTTGAATCATGATATTAGATCACTGTTATTGACTTGATTTGCACCATTAATGCCAAGAAAATTACCTTTAATAGAACCAGTTCTGTTACACGAGCACGCTGAATAGGGTATAAAGTAATTCAATACAAACTGTAATTAACTCATTAAAAAAATCATTAACTATATTTTTAAATCGCACTGGTTTTGATGATATCCCATCTGTATGAATGTCCCGAAGTGTCCAATGCTTGTCCGCAGAGCCGATTATACATGCAATAGGGATGGAGTGGTCAGGTTATGTGACCTGGCTGGTTGGTGTCGTCGTAGCCGATGGCGTGGAGCGTTGTGCATGCTTTCAGGCACTGGTTGACTGGTCAGAGTCAACATTATACAGGAATGTTACAGAAGGATTTTTGTTATTGCGGCGTTAAACAACATTCACTCAATCGAATGATGTAAACGGCTGACGTAGGAATCCCTTAGACAGTTGAAAAATAAGACAACACCTCAGGCATGGAATAAACTCCATGACATTTCTATCCACATGCATGGTATCCAATTAGCGAGCATTACACCAAAGATCACAATGAGACAGTGCTAGGGTGTATATTTTACCTTACGTGGCATCAGAGACATTGCGTGATAAGAACACTCAGAAACGTTCGTGACACAAATCATAAATATATATTCTTTGGCCATGCAATGACTACCCGACGCTTTCTTGAAATCCCCACTGTATAAAGAATAGAGTCCGAGACGGCACTGTGGTCTATGTTGTTTTTTTGCCTGCCCCATACATGTCCTGTGTGAACTGTTGCGGGTGCGCATCGCAACTACAATCTCAGTTTCTCCCAGGACACACTTTCAGTTGCTACATGGGAAATTACCTACAATAAAATTGTTTTTTCTGCTTTTAAAAGATATAAGAAAGAAACTGTCCACTTGACATGCAGGATATTCAACCCGTGGGTAACAAACGTATTATCTGTTGGATGTAGCCAAAGATATTTATACTCGTCACGATATGGCTGAAATACTGCCGATGTGACGTTAAATATTAACTCACCCACTCACTCAAAGATATTTATGCTAAATATATGACAATAACCATCCATTGTGTTAAGGAAATGATACATTGAGCAGAAGCGGAAATGCAATTCAAAACTGATCTTCCAAATACACTAAAAATACATTTGGCTTACTATTAAAAAACATTCAAGCCAAATTCAACACCCCAAACTACACTTAAAAAAAAAAAAAAAAAATTCCAAAAAGTAGCAAAATTGGTTGAGTAATTTTTGACCAACACTGAACATGTTGAAGAAGAATGTTATATTTGAAAATATGTTAGGTAAGAATTCTTATCAGGGATTCCCACCTGGGATTCGAACCTACATGCAGGGTGAAACACCTAATCACCAGCACACACAGTTTGCGATCTAACCCACTCCGCCACCGAAGTTTCTACCAAATTGAAGTCCGACAACTCGTAGTCTAGATCACGTATTTGTGTATCCCTCTGATAAGTGTAACTTGCTACAGCTCCCATGGCCGAGAGCTGAGAGTGTAGGTTCGAATCCCGGAAGGGACTCCATAACAAAAATGTACCAGAATTTGTACTTTACAAAGAAAGTGTATTCCCATATATAACATTTGTCACATTTGACCACTTTCTAAAAGGCATTGTGTATTCATAGCTTAAAGTGGACATCCGACATTTCTTACTTGGCCATGTCATGCCATCTCATCCGTCTCAACACTAAAAACTAAACTCCATACAATATAAAGCCCTAGAAAAGGGTATGGTTTCTGGAACTGGTTCCTCCCTCAGCAACTTAATTCTACATTCAGTCTCCACCTTAATCCCTCTTAGGCGAGATGACATTAGCCTCAATCCCAGGACCGAGCAAAACATAACCAAATACAAACTAATGACAAAAATATACCAAAACAATAGCAAAACAACACTTAACAAAAAAAGCAAACATAGTCCATCTACATGAACTGCTACACTCCCACCGCCTGAATAACATACCACATGCACTCCTACCTTATACATACCATTGTGACACCACCAACCCACCCCAACCCATCCCATATAAACCGACAAATTCTTACACACGACATTCCAAGTACACTCAAAACTAAGAACAAACTATTATCCATATCACTGATCATACTGTGGATATGTTTGTGCTTATTCCGAAACAATAAGTCGAATCTTGATGATTGATGATTAAAATGTGTTATATTATTATTGTTGTTGTTATTGTTATTATTATTTCCATACAAATCGGTTCTTTGTTTGGATTAATCCATTTAAATAAGAAGCTATCAGGCAAGGAAGTAGCTGTAAACTCAACTCTGAACTTTGTTATTAGCTGTAGGGGTTATGGAATTAGAGCTTTGGGGAGGATACCATTTCGACAATATTATTGTTATTATTATGTCAGGATGTGTGGGGTAACAACATTGGACAGAGGTGAAATATGGTCAGTCATCAGGAAAACAAAAATGTGAACATCAATTTTGAAAATAATTATTCATTAAAGTGTTAGACGCGTTTCGATTTCCTCAAACCTGCCCTGGTTTTATTACAGTTTCAAGTATGGGAGTCGCTTTACTGTGGACACTTGATATACGTAACGACCACTGCATGAACTATCCTTGTAATAGTGACCGTTTAAAATGATATGTCCCGGTTATACATGTTCAAACATTAAGCCTAGAGTCAAACGAAATAGCTTTATATAAAACTTATTATCATTATCTAGAAACTTGGTATGGAAAAGCATAAACCTTTTCCATTGTATTGTATATAGCCTCGATTATCCAGCGTATCACATCTGCATTCCATTATGATAAAGAAGGACACTCACATCATTATGGAACGGAGATGTCGCAATACGCTGGATAATCGAGGATGTTAAGGGCAAAATAATCTTCAAGTCATGGATGCGTGTACGTTCAACCTCTTAACCTTTATACTACGTTTGCTCTTTTGCAAGGCTCTTGACTCGGCAAATAACTGTAATTCAATTGAAGTTTTTGAGTGTCATAATCAATAGGAGTTAGCTTACATATACAAAGGCGGATCCAGAGGGGGAGAGGGCACACACACACACACACACACACACACACACACACACACACACACACCTTTTGAAAACCAAATGTAATTCAATTGAAGTTTTTGAGTGTCATAATCAATAGGAGTTAGCTTACATATACAAAGGCGGATCCAGAGGGGGAGGCCCCCCACCCACCCCCCACCCCCCACCCACACACCCCGCCCACACACACCCACACACACTCACACACACCTTTTGAAAACCAAATGTGGTATGTTGTAGGCAGTAAAATTATCTGAGAGAGGCTTTTGATATTTTGGATCCCTCCCTTTTAAAATGATGGTCTGCCTTTGATATATACTTCTATACTGCCTAGCAACTTCTTGTTATTCCACAAGAAGGCTAAGGTGGCCTACTCACTTCCTGATATAACTACTAAAATACTTCCTGAATTATAGCAGTAAGATGAACCCATGCATTGGAAGTAAAACCAATATGCCACAGACGTCTTATCAATAGACCTCATATTTGAATGATAAATATATCCACCATGCACATTTCGTAAATATATCCATCTCATCTAAGGGAATAAATTAAGAAATGAAACCCGAGTCTGGAATGATTTGGCAAGAATAGGTTGCCTCAGATCTAGGAATTAAGCATTGTCATGTGTTCCATTTGGATTATATTTTATTTTTGAACGCATATTTTGGGCGATATTATCAACTGTGTCATGCCTTTATTAACGCCAGCAATATGATACAGTTGTTTAAAACGAGTATTTCCTACAAAACTGTGTAAAAAAAAGTTGCTGAAGATAAAATTACAAAATCGTGACCATCCTAATGCGTATTCAATTGCATTACGATTAGGAAGAAGGAAGTTATCACTGGACCGTGTACCATCAACCAGTCACGAACGCCAGGCCTAGTTTTGGCGGGAAACCGATACCGTCACCAAATACCACGTGTTTACCGCCACGACTGATCGGTTTCATCAAACATGTTAAACATATACATCCATATTAATATTCTGTACATGTTAATAACAATTATAAGATCCTATTCCGATTATATTATATCTAAAATAGGAACATAAGCCCACTGCAATTGAAAGGTTAAATATTCCTGACCATTCTGTAACCATCTGTGAGTCATACATACGCTATTTCTAATAACATTTTATAACAATGGAATATATTTTTATTAAATTACATTTCTGGGGTGAAACTCCTTTAATTCTTAAAGATATAAACCACGTACGTCGTAGTATTTGCTACCCCGGAAGTAGCATCCGTTCACAGCAGAACCATGCCAAGTCACGGAATGGTCCCTAAGAATCGAACATGGCCGAGGTAGTTTGGCAGGGCGAAGTGACACACAGCACAGGTGAATAAAATTCAGCGTTTTCTGTCGTCTGTCAACAACAGATATTAATCTGTATAGTAGCGGGGGTGTTGAAGGTAATACTTAAACATGTTTATTGCCGAAACACACTGGCATTGTGCATGGCAACCCCGCTAATCTCACTGGTCGGTCGGCCGTCGACATATTGCTCTCCATCATCTCATTATGCAAAAAGCCTATCATTCTAGTTCGTCTGCTTGTGGCGCGTTGCTTGTGATCCTCGCTTGCTGCAAGCTATTCCCGATAATGTCTGCGTCAGCTGCAATTTGGGAGAACCGAGGCCACCATTCCACACCGCCACTGCAATATATGTGTACAGTATCATGCACTTGTGAATACATTTTGGGTCAAATATGTTATTTTGTACCAAATATGTTGGTTGGGATGTATTCCAGGGAGCAGTCATTTTTCGCTTATTGTTTTATTTGGGACATTGTTATTCTTTGGGGCTAAGTCAATCCTTCATCAGCTACCTTGCTTATTGATTGTATATTGTCATATTGTAATATATCAAGTATTGTTGGACACTTGTTGTTGAAGTTGAAGAGATTGGAGCACTGTTATAACATTGATGTCAGGTATAAATATATTGTTTATATCATGGCCTGGCTGGTGTATAACCACTTCATATTGTTATACAACTTGCAACATGGACACAAGTGATTCCCATTTAGCTCAGCAGGACCAAAGGTCTAAATGAGCTTATTAGATTGTGAGTTATTTATCATCTTTCTTTTCAGCTAATGTGTGTTGTCTGTCTGTTGTAATCAACACACAGGAAGATAATCGCATGTTGTGTACACATGAGTAAAATATTACAATCAGTTTGAAGGGCTACAGACAACTGGGCTCAAATTAGTTCTGGAGAACCTTAAAGTATAAAGTTTAAAGATCTTTGATGTGTCATCACTACTGAATTTAAGCCATTGTTGACAATGTACTGAAAGTAAATTATTGAATTTATTAAATATTAAAAACTGCTGTACCAAATATGGTGAGCCTTGCAATGTATGTTTCTTCCCATAACATTGTCTTAATAGTCCATTAGATTTTACATTGATGTGGTACTGTTGCAAGTCTCACAGAAACCAGGTGATATCGCTAATTGATGTGTTGCTAAGCAGCAGAGCCTTGATGCTATTTTGTCTGTTAGGATTTAACTGTTGAACATGGTTCAGACGACAGTCAGAATACTCGTACATCTGTTGCTGATATTGATTTTAGTTTTTGTATTACTATATTACTATGTGAAAATGAAATTTACTACCAGCTGGTTGATAAAGGTTACGTTAATTCTTTTCATTCATTCATGCAGTTATATGGCAAAATAAAATATGATTAACTGTGAGAAGATGGTATTTGACTAATCTTATGAGGACAAGACTGATATGTCTGGTATTGTTTTGTTATTGTTTGTTCAAAATTAAGCATGAAAAAAGTCCTGTCGTCCTTGTCAATAGCTGTTGTTAAAAGTCTAAAAAATAATAGGTCCCCAGAGCTCCAGGGTGTGGGTTCAAGAGCTTTATAGGTGTTAGTGCAGAATGTATAATTTATGTTGCAAATCTGTTATGCAAAAATGTTATGAATTTCATGTACAGATATCAGCCTTAACAATGGTCTGTTGGTTATGTCACTGGGCTAGCAGCATAAAGGTCCAGGGTTCAATCCCAGGTTCAGGCAAAAGTTTTTGTGACTTATAATCAGTTGTGTTGCATCATGGGATTAGTCATGTGACCTCATCCACTGTCACCTTCAGTTTGAAAGGTCTCCATGTTGGAGAAACATGTCATGAACTCAAAAATACCACGATACTTCCACAAGAAAGTGTGATGGCAATGATCGTGAAGTAACTGTCATCGTGGAGTTTGGCAAGGTTGACGGAATGCCTGCTTATAATTTCAAAATAAGTTGCTGATTTGCTTATCGAATACGCAGGGTTACTTCACAATATTTTTATGATACACACAAGTTTTATTTTTGTAGCGTATCTGTAATGTTCGTTGCGTATTTGATACGCTTGGAATTTATTTTACTGCGTATTTCTGCATTTCTGATGGGTATTTTACACAGATACGCAGCTTATCTGGAGCTCTGGGTCCCTGTATTCATAATCTCATAATAATTCAGATATTTTATTCACACCATGTAATTTTTCTGGATATTTTATACACTGAGTGCTGTGGCATCTATCCTCAAAAAGGGAGTTTGTTTGTTTGTTTGTTGGTTGGTTTGTTGTTTAACTCTGCACTCAGTAATATTCCAGCTATATGGGTGGTCTGTGAATAATCAGAGTCTGGACCAGACAATCCAGTGACTGACATCAAACCACAATGACATGCATCAACTAAGTCAGCGAGCCTCACCACCCGGTCCCCGTTAGTCACTTTTTACAGCAAGCATGGGTTGCTGAAGACCCATTCCACCCCGGATCTTCAGGGGTCTTCAAAAAGAAGTACCATCGAAGTAATAGATGGTAAAGAAATTATATCAATTTCTTTTAGAAAGCTGACATCTGATTGGCCCAAGAACCCAAACATCCTATATTTTGATTGGTTGATCAAAGTTACTCAGGGTTCACCACCTTTGTGGTATAGTGGTAGAGCGTCCACCAGGAGAGTGGAAGGTCCAGGGTTCGATTCCCGGCCGCGTCATACCAAAAACCGCCATACCGTTAAAAGATTGTACTTGTTGTCACCCTGTCTGGCGCTCGGCATTAAGGGGCTAAATCAAGGACTGGTCGGCTTGGAGTCAGTATACTGTGTCTGAGTGGGGTATTCATGTTAAATTGCGGCATGGTATCTCAGTGGGCTAGCACTATAAATCGGCATCAGTCCAGACTAGTACAAGCAGCCACACACGCACACGCACACACACACACACACACACACACACACACACACATGCATGCACATGGCTATGTAAGTGCAATAATCTTGGACGTGATGTCAAACCCTATTAGACCTCACCTACTCAAGGTTCACAAGATCTGACTCCAGGGTCCACTTGCTTAAAACTATCTTAGCGCACAGACCAATCTTAAGTAGCTAAGATCATTGTAGTCCCTGAATAATCTTGGCGTGCAAGACAAGGTCTGTTTCACATAAAAATAAAATAATCTGCTTTACCTTCAAACATTGGCTTTTTATAGAAACAGCATTTCAACAACTTGAAGAACACCCCATAGATTTAATGTAGGAAATACTGTTATTTCTATAGTAAACCACAAAACTGTCAAGTCGATCGCTAGAGGTACCATTCCCAATGGATATAATGCTGAAAGAAAATTGAAACAACATATCTTTTTCGCCAATCAATGGAAGGATGAAAACGGAAGGTGTCTGCAAGCGATAAGAAATGTCCGTGACCTTTTGGATAACAAGGGCAGCTAATCTCAGTTTATACTCTTGATGGGAGTGGTTTCCCTTTGTATATGCCGTTGTCTGTAGAGTAGAATCTACCTTGCCCAATGTATTAATGTTGTAAAAAAAAATGTGGGGGGGGCAGTAATGTTGTATCTAGTTTATCATTTAAATAATCTACGATTAAAATTGAAGTTGAAGGGCAAAGTCATCATACAGGTTTTTTTCTCATTCTCACATCTAAAATCAAGTGGGACGAGGTATGAGCGGTTTCAGTATATGAATTTTTAATTAGTACAAGTACTCATCAAACAAGGCAGTATTGTGTAAAATATCTTTTAAATAGCATATGTAAATTTCACACTTTTTAAAAATAATTATGAATGTAATGTTGTTAGAATAATTTAAACCCAATGAATATATATAAAACAACTGCTTTCTTATTATTTATCATTCTTATTTCTCTTCCATGCGTTCTTCACCATCTTATAAGCTATCTGTGTTTTAAAAAGGCGGGTCATATCATCTTTCTTCAAAGCAGCAAACATATACATGTGGGATATATTTAGAATTTTACGAAACGCTCCCCCAAATAGATGTGTATTAAGCAACCATTGGTCGATCATATATTTCCGTGTCATGTTATAAGGAAATATTGTTATTGTTTATCTTAATTTTCATAATAATTATGTCACTAAATATGGAGCCAAATTTATCAATGTACTTATTCTTATTTCAGAATTTTCATAAAACATAGGTAGGTATTTTTCTAGTTGCAATATCAAACTCACAAATCTTTAATCACAACAGTATCAGTGTAGAAAAAAATTACATGCCATCATTCGAGTAATCGTTTCCTGCAAATAAGTGGGACCTTTTAGAAAACTGTTGAAAGTGCTTTCAGAGCTCCAGATAAGTTTTTGGTGTTGTGGGTATTTTACCCATGCATTTTCAAATCATTGGGTATCAGTAATTCTATCTGGGTATTCAAATTTCTGTAACCCACTAGTTTTTACACATGTGGGTATTTAAGTTAAATATTTAACAACACTATTCATCTTGTCCTTGCAAACTGGTGTCATTTGGGTAAGAGAGCTTTATAGGACTCACAAATACCACGATACTTCCACAAGAAAGTGTGATGGCAAATGGTCATGATGTAACTGTTGGCAAGGTTGACGGAATGCCCGTTTATAATTATCCCCCGCCGCGCGAAAGCGCGAAGCGGGGGATATAGTATTCACGACCGTCCGTACGTACGTCCGTACGTCTGTACGTCCGTACGTCCGTCCGTACGTCCCACCTGTTTGTTGCCGCGATATCTCAAGAACTAAACACTGGATTGTCTTCATATTTGGAACTATGGTGTATATACAGACTCCGCAGACACCAGTGGGTTTTGGTGACCTTGATCCCATTTTCAAGGTCACAGCAGACAAATCTGCTTTTAGAGTTGGAAAACGGTGTTGCCGCGATATCTCAAGAACTAAACACTGGATTGTCTTCATATTTGGAACTATGGTGTATATACAGACTCCGCAGACACCAGTCGGTTTTGGTGACCTTGATCCCATTTTCAAGGTCACAGCAGACAAATCTGCTTTTAGAGTTGGAAAACGGTGTTGCCGCGATATCTCAAGAACTAAACACTGGATTGTCTTCATATTTGGAACTATGGTGTATATACAGACTCCGCA